AAACATAACGTCATTCGATCTAGTAGTCAACAAAACATAATATCATTCGATCTAGTAGTCAACAAAACATAATATCATTCGATCTAGTAGTCAACAAAACATAATTCATTCGATCTAGTAGTTTTCAACAAAACATAATGTCATTCGTCGGTACTAGTAGTCAACAAAACATAATGTCATTCGATCTAGTAGTCAACAAAACATAATGTCATTCGATCTAGGCAAAACATAATGTCATTCGGTCTAGTAGTCAACAAAACATAATAATGTAGTCAACAAAACATAATGTCATTCGATCTAGTAGTCATTAAACATTACGCTAGTAGTCAACAAAACATAACGTCATTCGATGTAGTCAAAAAATAATTGCGACTAGTAGTCAACAAAACATAATGTCATTCGATCTTAGGTTCAACATACATTCGGTCTAAACATAATGTCATTCGATCTAGTAGTCAACAAAACATAATGTCATTCGGTCTAGTAGTCAACAAAACATAATGTCATTCGGTCTAGTAGTCATCATAATGTCATTCGTCTTAGTCAACAAAACATAATGTCATTCGATCTGTAGTCAACGGTCTAACATATTCGATCTCATAACGTCAACAAAACATAAGTCATAGTCAACAAAACATAATTCAATGTCATTCGATCATAACGTCATTAATGTCATTCGTAGTCAACAAAACATAATGTCAGTCATTAAAAACATAATGTCATTCGATCTAGTAGTCTAAAACATAATGTAGTCAACAAAACATAATGTCATTCGATCTAGTAGTCAACAAAACATAATGTCATTCGATCTAGTAGTCAACAAAACATAACGTCATTCGGTCTAGCAGTCAACGAAACATAACGTCATTCGGTCTAGTAGTCAAAGAAACATAATGTCCTTCGGTCTAGTAGTCAACAAAACATAATGTCATTGGATCTGGTAGTCAACGAAACATAATGTCCTTCGGTCTAGTAGTCAACAAAACATAATGTCCTTCGATCTGGTAGTCAACAAAACATAACGTCGTTCGGTCTAGTAGTCAACAAAACATAACGTCATTCGATCTAGTAGTCATTAAACATACTGTCATTCGGTCTAGTAGTCAACAAAACATAACGTTGTTCGGTCTAGTAGTCAACAAAACATAACGTCATTCGATCTAGTAGTCATTAAACATACTGTCATTTGGTCTAGTAGTCAACAAAACATAACGTCATTCGATCTAGTAGTCAACAAAACAAATTATTATATGCATGAAATTTTCTCGAAATCGCATTGGCTGGATCCTATACACGTGATCAGTTCTCAAAAACTGTTGAGGACTGGTTTTCCGATGAATATCGATTTCTAAATATAGCCTAAATGGTAATTCCCTACAGCTTGTCGCAGTGCATGCGCAGTTAGACCGGAACGCGATCTGTCAGACGATCAAAGACGTTGCGATGGCTGCCGGCGAACGTTTCGCCTCTGTTACAGTTGTCAGGATGTTAAAGCATTCAATAAAGTCAGAATCTTTGTTTATGTTTTGTGTTCTTATTGAACGTATAATAAAACAGTTATTGACTTCAGTGCTGGTAAATATGATGTGATATGAACCTGAAAAAATAATATTAACATCGGCTTCGCCACGGTCAATGTCATTTTTTCAGGTTCATATCACATCATATTCACCAGCACCGAAGTCCATAATTGTATAATGTCATTCGGTCTAGTAGTCAACAAAACATAATGTCCTTCGATCTAGTAGTCAACAAAACATAATGTCATTCGATTTGGTAGTCATTAAACATACTGTCATTCGGTCTAGTAGTCATAAAACATAACGTCATTCGGTCTAGTAGTCAACAAAACATAATGTCCTTCGATCTGATAGTCAACAAAACATAACGTCATTCGGTCTAGTAGTCAACAAAACAGAATGTCATTCGATCTGGTAGTCAACAAAACATAACGTCTTTCGGTCTAGCAGTCAACGAAACATAACGTCATTCGGTCTAGTAGTCAAAGAAACATAATGTCATTCGATCTAGTAGTCAACAAAACAAAATGTCATTCGATCTAGTAGCCAACAAAACATAATGTCCTTCGATCTGGTAGTCAACAAAACATAATGTCATTCGATCTAGTAGTCAACAAAACATAATGTCATTCGATCTAGTAGTCAACAAAACATAACGTCATTCGGTCTAGTAGTCAACAAAACATAATGTCCTTCGATCTGGTAGTCAACAAAACATAATGTCCTTCGGTCTAGTAGTCAACAAAACATAATGTCCTTCGATCTGGTAGTCAACAAAACATAATGTCCTTCGATCTGGTAGTCAACAAAACATAATGTCATTCGGTCTAGTAGTCATTAAACATACTGTCATTTGGTCTAGTAGTCAACAAAACATAATGTCATTCGGTCTAGTAGTCATTAAACATACTGTCATTCGGTCTGGTAGTCAACAAAACATAACGTTGTTCGGTCTAGTAGTCAACAAAACATAATGTCATTCGGTCTAGTAGTCAACAAAACATAATGTCCTTCCAGTCAACAAAACATAATGTCATTGGATCTGGTAGTCAACGAAACATAATGTCCTTCGGTCTAGTAGTCAACAAAACATAATGTCCTTCGATCTGTTTGTCAACAAAACATAATGTCATTCGGTCTAGTAGTCATTAAACATACTGTCATTCGATCTAGTAGTCAACAAAACATAATGTCCTTCGATCTAGTAGTCATTAAACATAATGTCATTCGATCTAGTAGTCAACAAAACATAACGTCTTTCGGTCTAGTAGTCAACGAAACATAACGTCATTCGATCTAGTAGTCAACAAAACATAATGTCATTCGATCTAGTAGTCATTAAACATAATGTCATTCGATCTAGTAGTCAACAAAACATACTGTCATTCGATCTAGTTGTCAACAAAACGGTCTAGTAGTCAACAAAACATAATGTCCTTCGATCTGGTAGTCAACAAAACATAATGTCCTTCGATCTGGTAGTCAACAAAACATAATGTCATTCGGTCTAGTAGTCAACAAAACATAACGTCGTTCGGTCTAGTAGTCAACAAAACATAATGTCATTCGATCTAGTAGTCAACGAAACATAATGTCATTCGATCTAGTAGTCAACAAAACATAATGTCATTCGATCTAGTAGTCAACAAAACATAATGTCATTCGATCTAGTAGTCAACAAAACATAATGTCATTCGATCTAGTAGTCATTAAACATAATGTCATTCGATCTAGTAGTCAACAAAACATAACGTCATTCGGTCTAGTAGTCAACAAAACATAATGTCCTTCGATCTGTTTGTCAACAAAACATCATGTCATTCGGTCTAGTAGTCAACAAAACATGACGTCATTCGGTCTAGTAGTCAACAAAACATACTGTCATTCGATCTAGTTGTCAACAAAACATAATGTCCTTCGATCTAGTAGTCAACAAAACATAATGTCATTCGATCTAGTAGTCAACAAAACATAATGTCCTTCGATCTAGTAGTCAACAAAACATAACGTCATTCGGTCTAGTAGTCAACAAAACATAACGTCGTTCGGTCTAGTAGTCAACAAAACATAACGTCATTCGATCTAGTAGTCATTAAACATACTGTCATTCGGTCTAGTAGTCAACAAAACATAATGTCCTTCGATCAACAAAACATAACGTCATTCGATCTAGTAGTCATTAAACATACTGTCATTCGGTCTAGTAGTCATTAAACATAACGTCATTCGGTCTAGTAGTCAACAAAACATAATGTCATTCGATCTGGTAGTCAACGAAACATAATGTCCTTCGGTCTAGTAGTCAACAAAACATAATGTCCTTCGATCTGGTAGTCAACGAAACATAATGTCCTTCGATCTGGTAGTCAACAAAACATAATGTCATTCGGTCTAGTATAGTAGTCACTACTGTTTAGTTGTTTACACAGATTGACTACAGATTACTTGACTATAGCGATATTTAATCTCCCTCAAATATTACTAACCATACAGTATGTGCGAGCTAGTTTCTGTACAGATCTCCGTTCTCATCAGCAAAATACCGGTGTCATATCATATTTGGATCCCCCCATGAGAAAAGGATCCGAATCATTTTTTTGGCCATTAGAAAATGATCCCCCTATAGTATTTTGATCCCCCTTAAGAGATGTTATATTAACAATGCATATATTTCAGGTGATAGTGAAAATATGATGATAGGTGTTATGTTAGCTGTGAAGTTGTTAATTACACCTGGCCTACCAGTCAATTACATAAGAGGATTAAGGGTAGAGGGGTTAAACCTGAGTGAGCACCCATGTGCACATGGCAGGTATAACGAGTGATCAATTAAAGTTACTCAGGTTATAGATAGAGTAATTATGTATGCAGTCATCATTTAAGCCCCTGTCAACCACTACCTGTACAGGGTGATCTGGAGCTTGACCTCTTCAGCCTTGGCTCCACAGGTGTTATGTTATCATACCTGTACAGGTAACCCAGGTATCGGTGACGAAGTCCCAGACACAGTTACCTATCACATCTCATTTTATTTATAAAGCTGTAAAATTTAAAATAAAATTCACAAGGGGTATCAAAATACTATAGGGGGGATCATTTTCTTATGGGGGGAAAAGCGATCCCCGGGTCCTTTTCTTATGAGGGAAAAGTGATCCGGATCCTTTTCTGATGGGGGATACAAACATGATATGACACCGGTATCTATAAACCAAATGATAATTCAGATGTCCAACAAGTGGACAGGATTACGTCTGTACACGAAGAACACGCATCAGATAAGGTAACATTGGTGTCTTGGAGGATTCCCTTTCCGGTATTTACTGGGATGGAGTCAAACTCGTACAGAAAAAATGAAAAAAATTGAATTTGAAAACTCTCTATTTTCATGTGATTCGTGCACAAATCCTTGGTGATTCAAGGTTTCGGCAAAATTGGAACCACCAATTTAAAAATAAATGCGCAGTATAGCTTATAACGTACCGTATCTGTTCCTCCCTGGACCCCGATCGTGATGCCTGATGTCACCCAATCAGGAAGCATCGGCATGCGGCCCTGAAACTGAGACAAAGACTGCACCAGAGAAAGCATGCTGTTTGCTGCCTTGAAGTAGAATTTTCCTACTATGCCCTTGATGAAGATTTCGTGGTAGGTGGGTGCGCTAAAGTCAAGCATCATGTAGTTTGTATCGGTGTAGTGAAGGTAGTACAAGCGGTCGCTCACGAAGGACGGCTGAGGGTAGTATGTTGTGTGGAAGGCACCGCCTCCTCCCGTCTTCAGGTCCGCGTAATACGTAACAAGGTTGCTTTTGTCCCTTCCGACACCTGCAAGAAGAACGTGTCATCAGTTATCATTCCTTGCACTCGTCACAGCAAAACTCACCTTTTAAACTAAAATCTTCTATCGGTAAACAAGAAGCATACGTACATGTCTTCAAGACGCGGAAAACATTGCATACCCTGTTCTCTGGTCCAGATTGGATATTTAAGATCATCCGCACGCAGGACCGTCACAACCTCTGGTGGGGTGTAGGTCCTCTCCCGAAGGTTAAAATGAGAAAACTGTTCCCCGCCTCCGAACACCATCTCGTTTTGTGACGCAAATACCCTCATCCAAAAAAACTGATACGAAGTCGACCCCACATCCTCAGTGGACATGACGATATCGTTGTCTGTTGTGGACTCGAACGTTATGTTACACTGAAACAGTATATTAGTATAACTGATCTGTGAAGATACTTTATCTATTATGTCCTGAACACAAAAACCATGATTAATGTCAGAATATAAGTTTTTTTTAAAAGACATTGCTAACATAGTTTTGGGCCGATATTTGTCTTCACGATGTCATAGCTTTTTGCAATTAGTTACAGTTGAATACGTTATCTCGAACTCGTCTATCTCGGAGCATTTTGTCGGTCAAAGCGTAACTTTACCAAAAACAACCGAATATTCGAATTAGGTGATTTCGAATGTTTTTGGTAACAAACTTACACACTCTATCTTGTGTAAAATCAAAACGATCACAAATTTCAATATGCATATACAGTCGACCCCCCTTATCTCAAACTAGGCGGGATCATGGGAAACCTCGAGATAACCGAATATTCGAATTAGGTGATTTCGAATATCTCGAGGTTTCCCATGATCCCGCCTAGTTTGAGATAAGGGGGGGTCGACTGTATATGCATATTGAAATTTGTGATCGTTTTGATTTGACACAAGATAGAGTGTGTAAGTTTGTTACGTCTATATACAGATCTACACCTTGTTGCTTTACTGCAGATACTGTGTGCTTTCATAGGGCTTACATCTTCGCATTAGCCAGGGTTATATATGGACGGGTCTCGAGAGGGACAACAAGAGTAGACAACAATGATTAGAAAGAATGAGACCAAGATAATAAAGAAAAAAACAAATACCGATATCAACTATTGTGATGGTTGGTAGCAGCCTTTTCAATGAGTCCTGGTTATAAGACAAAGAATGAAAGCCCTGATTCTACAGGCTGTGAATTTTTGGACTGTCCATCCCTTACGAGATAAGGCAGTGATGTCATTTTTCAGGCTACTGCGTGAACGCCGATGTAAACAGTCTATTTCAAGCCATTTCTATCCGATGCTCTACTGCGAAATTGAATGGATTTTATGCAGTACCATCAGTATTTGAACTATATATTTGACTACTCTATTGTCTTATGATATATAATGATATGCCAAATTTACAGGTGACGTACCCTGAACTCGTTATCGCCATACGACAACAGCACATAATCCTTATCCGGTGTCGAAATATTTTCAAATCTCCGGAGAGGAATTCGATCCTGTATCACATTTTCAATATGAAAGTTCCCTAGTCCGCCCAGGAAATTAGTTCGTCCCTCTCCTACGTATACCATTGGATTCTTGATCGAATGTTGAAAAATCTGAAACATAAACCAATTGCAGAACAGTGCACTGTAAACTTTTAGTGTTACGTTCATCCATATATGGTGTTTTAACGTGTAAATTCACTCATATTTTGGTGTAAAATTTATGGTTACACCATTTCTGATGTAAAGTTAATCAAAACAAAGAAAAGTGTATAGTATACCGACATTTGGTGTTACTTCAGTCCTAAATCGGTGTTAATGCGTTATCTTACACCGTAATGGGATGACTGTACACCAGATTCTCGCTGAAAAGTGTTACTTTACACCGTAAGAGAGTGAACACCAGATTCTCACCTAAAAGTGTTACTTTACACCGTAGGAGGTGACTTTACACCAATATCACCTAAAAATGTTACTTTACACCGAAAGAGAGTGACTTTACGCCAGAATTCCACCTAAAAGTATTACTTTACACCGTAAGAGGTGACTTTACACCAAATCGATACCTTTAATGTTACCTTACACCGCACAGGTGCGGCATTACACTAAATTTTCACTTAGTGTTACTTTACACAGTAAGAGAATGACTTTTACACCAAATCAGTACTGAAACCTGTCACCTTACACCGTGTGGAGCGACGTTTCACCACATTGTCACCGAGAAGTGTTATCTTACACCGCACAGGGCTACGTTACATTAAATCGTCACCGAGAGGTGTTACCGTGCGGCCGCGCGGGACTGTCTTTAAACAAAATCGTCTTTGGAAGTGTTACTTTACATGTTAAGCCTTTACAACAAATAACATTTAGATGTCTTACCTAACACCATAAAGAATGATTACTTAACACCATATTCAATGAAAGCGTAAGCAGAGAAGTCTCTGGTGTAACTTTACACCGTGAGGGACACTCGTTAGTTATTCCCACACCAAGAAGTGAAGTTAACTTTTAATGTAGGCCTATTTCCGTCGGACAACGTTGTGGCCCTCAGTATTGCAAGATAAGATATTGGGTAGCGTTCCATTTTGGGTACAGTATACGTAGCCTCACGTTGAATGCCATTTGATTTTGCCTGTTAAACCCGGCTTTATGAAAGGTGGACATGCCTAATGGTTTGTTGTCGAATATAATGGACAATTACAATAAAATGCAAAATCTGTATTTGAAATAGTCACCATCATCAGTTAAGCCATATGCTTTCAGTACATAGATGCATGTTTGAACGAATCATTCTGACCGCTTAATGAATAGGGCTTTAGCTGCAAAAAAAAACCCGGGTCACTCAGACGCTTTTAAAGCGTTTGTGCGAGGAAGAAGCTGAAAAACCGAGCTGTGTGAAGTTAGCTCAACATACGACATTCGACATTAGACATTCAGAATTTGAATGTTGTGCCAGCTCGACATTAGACATTAGACATTCAGAATTTGAATGTTGTGCCAGCTAGACATTAGACATTCAACATTCAGAATTTGAATGTTTTGCCAGCTCGACATTAGACATTAGACATTCAGAATTTGAATGTTGTGCCAGCTCGACATTAGACATTCAACATTCAGAATTTGAATATTTTGCCAGCTCGACATTAGACATTAGACATTCAGAATTTGAATGTTGTGCCAGCTCGACATTAGACATTCAACATTCAGAATTTGAATGTTGTGCCAGCTCGACATAAGACATTAGACATTCAGAATTTGAATATTGTGCCAGCTCGACATTAGACATTCAACATTCAGAATTTGAATGTTGTGCCAGCTCGACATTAGACATTCAACATTCAGAATTTGAATGTTGTGCCAGCTAGACATTAGACATTCAACATTCAGAATTTGAATGTTGTGCCAGCTCGACATTAGACATTAGACATTCAGAATTTGAATGTTGTGCCAGCTCGACATTAGACATTCAACATTCAGAATTTGAATGTTTTGCCAGCTCGACATTAGACATTAGACATTCAGAATTTGAATGTTGTGCCAGCTCGACATTAGACACTCACCATTCAGAATTTGTTGTGCCAGCTCGACATTAGACATTCAACATTCAGAATTTGAATGTTGTGCCAGCTCGACATTAGACATTCAGAATTTGAATATTGTGCCAGCTCGACATTAGACATTCAACATTCAGAATTTGAATGTTGTGCCAGCTCGACATTAGACATTCAACATTCAGAATTTGAATGTTGTGCCAGCTAGACATTAGACATTCAACATTCAGAATTTGAATGTTGTGCCAGCTCGACATTAGACATTAGACATTCAGAATTTGAATGTTGTGCCAGCTCGACATTAGACATTAGCCATTCAGAATTTGAATGTTGTGCCAACAGGACATTAGACATTAGACATTCAGAATTTGAATATTGTGCCAGCTCGACATTAGACATTAGACATTCAGAAGTTGAATGTTGTGCCAGCTCGACATTAGACATTAGCCATTCAGAATTTGAATGTTGTGCCAACAGGACATTAGACATTAGACATTCAGAATTTGAATGTTGTGCCAGCTCGACATTAGACATTAGACATTCAGAATTTGAATGTTGTGCCAGCTCGACATTAGACATTCAACATTCAGAATTTGAATGTTGTGCCAGCTCGACATTAGACATTAGACATTCAGAATTTGAATGTTGTGCCAGCTCGACATTAGACATTAGACATTCAGAATTTGAATATTGTGCCAGCTCGACATTAGACATTCAACATTCAGAATTTGAATGTTGTGCCAGCTCGACATTAGACATTCAACATTCAGAATTTGAATGTTGTGCCAGCTAGACATTAGACATTCAACATTCAGAATTTGAATGTTGTGCCAGCTCGACATTAGACATTAGACATTCAGAATTTGAATGTTGTGCCAGCTCGACATTAGACATTAGACATTCAGAATTTGAATGTTGTGCCAACAGGACAATAGACATTAGACATTCAGAATTTGAATGTTGTGCCAACAGGACATTAGACATTAGACATTCAGAATTTGAATGTTGTGCCAACAGGACATTAGACATTAGACATTCAGAATTTGAATGTTGTGCCAGCTCGACATTAGACATTCAACATTCAGAATTTGAATGTTGTGCCAGCTCGACATTAGACATTCAACATTCAGAATTTGAATGTTGTGCCAGCTCGACATTAGACATTCAACATTCAGAATTTGAATGTTGTGCCAGCTAGACATTAGACATTCAACATTCAGAATTTGAATGTTGTGCCAGCTCGACATTAGACATTAGACATTCAGAATTTGAATGTTGTGCCAGCTCGACATTAGACATTCAACATTCAGAATTTGAATGTTGTGCCAACAGGACATTAGACATTCAGAATTTGAATGTTGTGCCAGCTCGACATTAGACATTAGACATTCAGAATTTGAATATTGTGCCAGCTCGATATTAGACATTCAACATTCAGAATTTGAATGTTGTGCCAGCTCGACATTAGACATTAGACATTCAGAATTTGAATGTTGTGCCAGTTCGACATTAGACATTAGACATTCAGAATTTGAATGTTGTGCCAACAGGACAATAGACATTAGACATTCAGAATTTGAATGTTGTGCCAACAGGACATTAGACATTAGACATTCAGAATTTGAATGTTGTGCCAACAGGACATTAGACATTAGACATTCAGAATTTGAATGTTGTGCCAGCTCGACATTAGACATTCAACATTCAGAATTTGAATGTTGTGCCAGCTCGACATTAGACATTCAACATTCAGAATTTGAATGTTGTGCCAGCTCGACATTAGACATTCAACATTCAGAATTTGAATGTTGTGCCAGCTAGACATTAGACATTCAACATTCAGAATTTGAATGTTGTGCCAGCTCGACATTAGACATTAGACATTCAGAATTTGAATGTTGTGCCAGCTCGACATTAGACATTCAACATTCAGAATTTGAATGTTGTGCCAACAGGACATTAGACATTCAGAATTTGAATGTTGTGCCAGCTCGACATTAGACATTAGACATTCAGAATTTGAATATTGTGCCAGCTCGATATTAGACATTCAACATTCAGAATTTGAATGTTGTGCCAGCTCGACATTAGACATTAGACATTCAGAATTTGATTGTTGTGCCAGCTCGACATTAGACATTAGACATTCAGAATTTGAATGTTGTGCCAGCTCGACATTAGACATTAGACATTCAGAATTTGAATGTTGTGCCAGCTAGACATTAGACATTCAACATTCAGAATTTGAATGTTGTGCCAGCTCGACATTAGACATTAGACATTCAGAATTTGAATGTTGTGCCAGCTCGACATTTGACATTAGACATTCAGAATTTGAATGTTGTGCCAGCTCGACATTAGACATTAGACATTCAGAATTTGAATGTTGTGCCAGCTCGACATTCAACATTCAGAATTTGAATGTTGTGCCAGCTAGACATTAGACATTAGACATTCAGAATTTGAATGTTGTGCCAGCTCGACATTAGACATTAGCCATTCAGAATTTGAATGTTGTGCCAACAGGACATTAGACATTAGACATTCAGAATTTGAATGTTGTGCCAGCTCGACATTAGACATTCAACATTCAGAATTTGAATGTTGTGCCAGCTCGACATTAGACATTAGACATTCAGAATTTGAATGTTGTGCCAGCTCGACATTAGACATTAGACATTCAGAATTTGAATGTTGTGCCAGCTCGACATTAGACATTAGACATTCAGAATTTGAATGTTGTGCCAGCTCGACATTAGACATTCAACATTCAGAATTTGAATGTTGTGCCAGCTCGACATTAGACATTAGACATTCAGAATTTGAATGTTGTGCCAGCTCGACATTTGACATTAGACATTCAGAATTTGAATGTTGTGCCAGCTCGACATTAGACATTAGACATTCAGAATTTGAATGTTGTGCCAGCTCGACATTCAACATTCAGAATTCGAATGTTGTGCCAGCTCGACATTAGACATTAGACATTCAGAATTTGAATGTTGTGCCAGCTCGACATTAGACATTAGACATTCAGAATTTGAATGTTGTGCCAGCTAGACATTAGACATTCAACATTCAGAATTTGAATGTTGTGCCAGCTCGACATTAGACATTAGACATTCAGAATTTGAATGTTGTGCCAGCTCGACATTAGACATTCAACATTCAGAATTTGAATGTTGTGCCAGCTCGACATTAGACATTAGACATTCAGAATTTGAATATTGTGCCAGCTCGACATTAGACATTCAACATTCAAATTCTGAATGTTGAATGTCTAATGTCGAGCTGGCACAACATTCAAATTCTGAATGTCTAATGTCTAATGTCCTGTTGGCACAACATTCAAATTCTGAATGGCTAATGTCTAATGTCGAGCTGGCACAACATTCAAATTCTGAATGTCTAATGTCTAATGTCGAGCTGGCACAACATTCGAATTCTGAATGTTGAATGTCGAGCTGGCACAACATTCAAATTCTGAATGTTGAATGTCTAATGTCTAGCTGGCACAACATTCAAATTCTGAATGTCTAATGTCTAATGTCGAGCTGGCACAACATTCAAATTCTGAATGTCTAATGTCTAATGTCGAGCTGGCACAACATTCAAATTCTGAATGTCTAATGTCTAATGTCGAGCTGGCACAACATTCAAATTCTGAATGTTGAATGTCTAATGTCGAGCTGGCACAACATTCAAATTCTGAATGTCTAATGTCTAATGTCCTGTTGGCACAACATTCAAATTCTGAATGTCTAATGTCTAATGTCGAGCTGGCACAACATTCAAATTCTGAATGTCTAATGTCAAATGTCGAGCTGGCACAACATTCAAATTCTGAATGTCTAATGTCTAATGTCGAGCTGGCACAACATTCAAATTCTGAATGTTGAATGTCTAATGTCGAGCTGGCAAAACATTCAAATTCTGAATGTTGAATGTCTAATGTCTAGCTGGCACAACATTCAAATTCTGAATGTTGAATGTCTAATGTCTAGCTGGCACAACATTCAAATTCTGAATGTTGAATGTCTAATGTCGAGCTGGCACAACATTCAAATTCTGAATGTCTAATGTCTAATGTCGAGCTGGCACAACATTCAAATTCTGAATGTCTAATGTCTAATGTCCTGTTGGCACAACATTCAAATTCTGAATGGCTAATGTCTAATGTCGAGCTGGCACAACATTCAAATTCTGAATGTCTAATGTCTAATGTCGAGCTGGCACAACATTCAAATTCTGAATGTCTAATGTCGAGCTGGCAAAACATTCAAATTCTGAATGTTGAATGTCTAATGTCTAGCTGGCACAACATTCAAATTCTGAATGTCTAATGTCTAATGTCGAGCTGGCACAACATTCAAATTCTGAATGTCTAATGTCGAATGTCGTATGTTGAGCTAACTTCACACAGCTGAAAAACCGCGCACATTACGCTAACCATAAGATGTTTTGACTTCCCCAAGTCGATAGACGATATTGGTATGTCCAGAGTCTAGTGAAGCATAATCTTTGTGAGTTCTGTTTTTTTCTATGTGTCTCATTGTTTTACATGTACATGGAAAATATTCCTGATACCTTATGTAATTACTGAACATCGTAAAAAGATTGGTTATCTAATGTTTTGCACCCTAGAAATAAAGACCAGAGGGATTTGAGACAGATGACTTCTTACAATTTTGTTGTGTTTAGATGGAAAAGGTTTTAATATATTGTGTAGTTGGTAATATTCACAGAGGATTTAATTTCGCTCTATTTGCAGCTGTTAAAGGTAGCACGAAATTAAATACTCCGCAAACTTTTTTTTTATATTTATCATTTGCCTGAATACTGTGGTACTCATTCATACACAAGCGCAAAATATTTACCACCGCAAACATGTATACCCGAAATAAAGATGACCCGAAATAAAAATAATTGATAAAGTAGGAAGATGAAGGATGAAGGTAACACTGATAAAGGATGAAGGTAACACTGATAAAGGATGAAGGTAACACCGGTAAAGGATGAAGGTAACTCAAGTGAAGGACGAAGGTAACGCTGATAAACGATGAAGGTAAAACCGGTAAAGGATGAAGGTAACACTGATAAAGGATGAAGGTAACACTGATAAAGGATGAAGGTAACACTGATAAAGAATGAAGGTAACACCAGTGAAGGATGAAGGTAACACCAGTAAAGGATGAAAGTAACACTGATAAAGGATGAGGGTAACACCGATAAAGGATGAAAGTAACACCAGTAAAGGATGAAGGTAACACCAGTAAAGGATGAAGGTAACACTGATAAAGGATGAAGGTAACACCATGAAAGGATGAAGGTAACACTGATTAAGGATGAAAGTAACACTGATAAAGGATGAAGGTAACACTGATTAAGGATGAAGGTAACAGCAGTAAAGGATGAAGGTTACACTGATAAAGGATGAAGGTAACACTGATAAAGGATAAAGGTTACACTGATAAAGGATGAAGGTAACACTAATAAAGGATGAAGGTAACACTGATAAAGGATGAAGGTAACACCAGTGAAGGATAAATATAACACTAGTAAAGGATGAAGGTAACACCCGTAAAGGATAAAGGTAACACTGATAAAGGATGAAGGTAACACTGATTAAGGATGAAAGTAACACTGATAAAGGATGAAGGTAACACTGATAAAGGATGAAAGTAACACCAGTAAAGGATGAAGGTAACACCCGTAAAGGATGAAGGTAACACTGATAAAGGATGAAGGTAACACTGATTAAGGATGAAAGTAACACTGATAAAGGATGAAGGTAACACTGATTAGGGATGAAGGTAACACTGATAAAGGATGAAGGTAACACTGATAAAGGATGAAGGTAACACCAGTAAAGGATGAAGGTAACACTGATAAAGGATGAAGGTAACACCAGTGAAGGATGAAGGTAACACTGATAAAGGATGAAGGTAACACCAGTGAAGGATAAAGATAACACCAGTAAATGATGAAGGTAACACCAGTAAAGGATGAAGGTAACACCAGTAAAGGATGAAGGTTACACTGATAAAGGATGAAGGTAACACTGATAAAGGATGAAGGTAACACCAGTAAAGGATGAAGGTAACACTGATAAAGGATGAAGGTAACACCAGTGAAGGATGAAGGTAACACTGATAAAGGATGAAGGTAACACCAGTGAAGGATAAAGATAACACCAGTAAATGATGAAGGTAACACCAGTAAAGGATGAAGGTAACACCAGTAAAGGATGAAGGTTACACTGATAAAGGATGAAGGTAACACTGGTAAAGGATGAAGGTAACACCGATAAAGCACAAAAGTAATACTTGTTCTTAGAAGGTGTAATCTCATGAGATGGTGTAAAGTTGCACCGAAAAAGAGCTGCCACCATTTCTGGTGTAACCTTTATCTCAGAAGTTTACAGTGTGTATTATATATCAACCAAACAAACACAGATAAAGATCATCTAAACAGATTTCAGGTTTAAGCCCGAAAAAGGCTTACAAACAATAAATTTGTGTTGGGGTCATGATTATGTATACATGCTGCTATTTCTTGTTATTTTTATATTTCTGAGATTGTTACAGTGGTAACAGAAAAAATATTAAACATGAAAAATCGTCAATAGAAAAAGGCACAACTAGGGCACTATAGCTTGTTTTTCATACATATGTTCGTAGAGATTCGTAGAGCGGTCTTCAAGGTTAAGTTCGGAAAGTCCCTCAGACATCCGGACGGAGAAAATCCAATTTATTATACTCGTAAACGTGTCTAGTGAGAGATAAAATTAGACAGAAAGAAAAAAAGACATAGACTGTATATTATCACGGACTGCATCAACGACACAACCTTGGCACGCCTATTACCTGATGTCCTCTGTTGGATGAGATTGAAGCCCCAATATACGAATTTTTTTTCTAAAAAACACATAAAGGAGCAAAACATAAGATCGAGATGTTGAATCTGTCTGCTAGACTTACAGTAACACCATTGATTGAGATGTTGAATCTGTCTGGTAGACTTACCGTAACACCATTGACTGAGATGTTGAATCTGTCTGGTAGACTTACAGTAACACCATTGATTGTGATGTTGAATCTGTCTGGTGTATTTACAGCAACACCATTGATTGAGATGTTGAATCTGTCTGGTGTATTTACAGTAACACCATTGATTGAGATGTTGAATCTTGTAGACTTACCGTAACATTATTGATTGAGATGATGAATCCGTCTTGATGCAGACTGAATACATATTTCTTCACACCGGAAACAGGGACGAAGACGTGTACAGCTACGATTATGATAGATAGCAGTGCTGCTCGGACCGAAGTCATCCTGGATATCTAAGCAAATAAACATGTATACATCATATCACTGTAATGTAATACTCATTTAAAATAGTGGTAATGTGAGAATAAAAACGAAAGTGCTTGTTGTTTTATTTGTAACTGCTGGCATTATTACTGCAGCAAGGAATGATATCCTAAGGGATGCTGATTAAATATTTGGGACTTTATTCGAAAATGTGGCTCTCGATCGCATATTCAGCAATCCTGTAATCATCCGACCGTGTCATCATAATTAAATGTCATTCATACCATTGATTTGTATACACAATGAACCTATGGACCCAAAGTATAAAACTTCTCAGGTATCGATATCACCGAATCCAGTAACCCGGATATCCGTATACTGAAATACCCAGGTGCACATAGGGCAACACATGAACATGATAACAATATTCAATCATTAACGGTATAATTTTCTTATGAGAGAAAAGGGAATTGTATCCATTTTGTGGTTATTCATTTGTTTACAAAGAAGATAAGGAGATATCGATAATAACTAGATAAATTACGAAACAACGTGATTAACCTTGATCAGCCTTGACAAACTGAAACAAAACCAAAATAAGTGACCCAATTAATCATTAACCAATTGAGGCGCACCTTAGTGACTGTTTGCGATCGTTAACCAATCGGGACACACCTTAGTGAGTGTTTGTAAATTTTAACTGATTTGAGTACACTTAGCTTAATAATGGCGATCATTAACTATAGTCATTAACAAACTGGAAAACACGTCGGTGAATACCGATTGGAGCACACGATAGTGCATTTTGACGAGAATTAACCACATGGTGTTCATTTTAGAGGGCGTAGGCGGTCAGCAACCAATTTGAGCACGCCGCGGTGAACTTTAGCTGTCTTTGACCAATTTGAGGAAAACGCATTAAAAAACTTAGTTAAATAAGATTTAAAGTTTTATCCAAATCGTGAACTGGTTAAAAACATGAGAAAATGTTGTTTAGCATTAACTTACCTCATAAGACAGCGGGAGACAGGTATCGCGTTTACCAGGCAGTTACAAGGGGCTCGCTGTGGGTTGATAACACAAAGGTCTAATGTTTGTTATTCATTGATGTGTTATCGTTGAACATTGGCTTCAACCGTAAGAAGGTTTACCTACACTGGGATAAGTTGGCTACTCTAGACACAAATGATCTAACAAGCGAAATCATGTTTATTAGGGGTTTTTGTTGTTGACTTTTGGGAGAGGGGAGGGGGTTTTTCTTTTCTTATTTGTACTTATGTTTTTTTATGTATGATTATATGTAAAGTTACCTTTGAAAAGTTACAAGGATTTAATAAGTTATCTGCATCAATGTATCGCCAGACCTTGCCTCGATTGATCAAATGTCGGCTAGTGTAAGACTTTGTGGTGTGTCGCACATATCTCGGTTTTCTGATAACGTGGACAAGAGTGTGTGTTAGTTTTGATACCTTATCTTGGTTTGTTTGGATTAGCTATAGAGTTGAATACAAATACCGATAACATTCATAAACCATAGACTTTACCTAATGTTCAAACCAGAGACGAATGCACGGGGAATTTTGACCAATTTGTTAAATATAAGATTTGAGTGTTGCTACTAATTTGATACACTTTGCAACGTCCATGTCTTTCTTTGTAAAGTTATTTTAGTGTTTTGTTGACAATGAGATGAAAGTTGTGTTGGGTTACGCTTGGTTGATTATAATTATCACCTCTAACATGTATTTTTTTGGGATGGAAAAGGAGAAAGAATAACATATTTTTATATATCTAAAGGAGTCTATTGGATCGGAATAAGAAGTGTGTTGATAATTGTAGAGAAAAAAACAAGGTCGAAATAACAATTGATATAAAGTGTGAGTGAAAGGAATTTGGGATGAAAGTGAAATTGACAAAAGTTGGTGCTTTTTAATTTCGTAAAAATGTGAGGTAGGAGTTATACAATAAAATTGGAAAATTATATCATGTTGACCATCATTTGGCAGTGAATTATCATGCATGCAAACCATGGGAGGAAATAAACGCAACATTCTAAACCAACAGAAAAATATCAATTTGTTAAATATATCTTAATTCAAACTCACAATCTTTTAAAAATACGTGTAAACCCGAGAAAACGGCGATACCACCTCCGTATAAATCTCCAGGAGTCCACGAGTACCACGTTGTCTTGACCGTGACCTTTGACCTGTATTTCGTCTCCTAAGGTTCAAAATCGAATATCACTGACGAATCCTAGAAGGACGAAACGGTTGTATGGTGCAATTAAAGTCATTTTTGGGCTCCGCTGAGTACGATTCTAAATTTCTATTTAAAAAAAGTGTAATTAATTTGTATTTTTTCTGTAAAACCATTTTTTCTGCCAATGCATTGTATAGACTCCTACCAGGAGCCGTTATTAGATAAAGTGTCCGAGAGATATCAAGATGTTTATGGTACTGAAATCTAATCAGTAGAGTCTATTGTTTTATTTACAGGAGTCATTAACAATGATTTGGGTAGAATTGAGATATAAGGATGTCATACAATGGATCTTGTTCATATAACAGATTTAGTACTTAGTGTAATTGCGGAATTACAAGATTACACTCTACAGAGAACTGTGTCAGTCTACATTCAGCATTATGTACCTTGCAATGCGTGTCAGTAATGTAAAACATTACGAGTTACCTCCCCTCGAAAGATAAATTCTAAAAAGTTTTATATAGCAGAAAGATGTCGACGTACTGATATCGTTATATTTTGCATTTAGGTGAAATCTCTATTTTTCTTCCATTGACTTAAAACATTGATTCAGTTTGGAGTAGAGGTTTATGGCAAAATATGCTAAAAATAGTTTAATAGATATAAAATTCATAGTCTGTTTATGGTATATATCATAATTAATACCGAATATTCCATTAGGAATGACATGCAAAAAAATCACGGTCACTTCCAACACCGGTTTCAAGAAGAAAATTGTTAATTTTTTTATTTGCTGAATTAGTTAGTGTCGTGGAGGATATTTTAATAGAGAAAATGGAGATTGTTTCCATAAAGTTAATGTTATGTCTAAATATTGTACCGATGTGTGTTTGCATATTAATTGATAAATTGCAGGCATAGCAACAATCCTACATGTATTGTCAGAAATGAAGGCTAGCGGTAAACACTATGAAAATAGTTATTGTTACTTTCATAAGAGAGAGATTCAAATTAGAAGTCAATTTGTACTATATGTACAATAATCAACTTGTCACCCAAGTCTCGTTTTCTTTCTTTTTTAAAATCATGTTTTTTACGGCTGCCAAAAAATCTGTACATTGGCAAATAAAAATTATAAAGTCACCAACGTACCTACCCTTTATTTTCTAATCAATATGTGCGTTATTCTCGTATGAGAATCAAAATTTTCTTTTTTTGAAAAAAAAAAATCATTTACAATTTTGTAAATTAATTTTAGTCTTTTGGAAATATACATCCAGTTTTATGGTATCTGCAGGACACTGAAATCTAAGTGCCAAAATTGTCAAATAAGGGACAAACACGTGTTTAGCTGCGTTCTCCCTCATCATGCCATAACAGCAAAATTTCTTATATGTATAACTGATGCACTTTTATCGTATACTATTGCATCATGTGCCGTGATAAATTTTGTGTTTTAGCATTTTAACTTAAAACATAATTATTACCATTTTTCACATACTTAGGATATTATTGTCTGTTTTCACAGCACATTACCTAACAGCATCACAGGAGATGTTTTAGCTTATTCTAATGTATAGATATATAGGATCTGAAATCAGTATTAATTTATTATGAGATTTTATATAGTTTCAGAAAACCATAAATGAAATGAAAACAAGTTTAAGATACTTTTTGTGACTTTTCCATTTCTGAATAGGTGTATCACTGCATCTCCAACTTATAGTATTTACATGTCACAGTTGAGTGGAAATTCAAGGGCCTGTTCCCATCATCACGATTTTCGTGCAAGAAATCGTCACGGATAAACTCGTAACACAGGGGTTCACAAGATGCAGGTTGATGAAAATTATGGAGAAGATTCATGGTCGCCATAGCGATCTCAAAGAGAAATATTCTTTTTCTTTGTGTGATATGAAACTGGACGTGTTTAATGCTCGTTAGTATATCTGTTGGTTCCGTTGTTGTATACCTTGGTTTCATTTGAAAACGTGGCATTACTTTCTTGGATTTACGTGGCGGGTGTCGTCGATGTAGTAGAAGGCGTTTACTCTTCCAGAACATCTGGTCTTATTCTCCTTGAATTTTCTATCCATGACGAAATGCCATTGCCCATATTATGACATCACAGTCGATTTCTGACTAGTGCAACCAATGAAAAACGCTCCAGAATGTATTAACAGAGTGAGCAATATTTTTACATGTGAATTCACTGGCCAACAGGCCTGTTATATGATAATATTATGTAATGTTACACTAATAGGTCTCCTTTCAATTATTCCTCGGTTGTGATGCACATATGGTAATACAAATAATTGTCACAATATATTGTGAGGGGGTGGGGGAGTGGAATGAATGATTGGAGAATTGCTGGTACAGAGATAAGGTAACATTAGTTTTTTTGCTGGATTATTTTAATGGTGCATTCCCTTGTAATTATAACCCCTATATACGATAATTCGATGTGTCTCTGGGTATGCGAGTGAAACCCCGAACTTAAAACCTCAATGAGGTGCTGGTGTGCTGTGCGCCTCGTCCGCGGGAATACATTTGGGATTGGTGTGGTGTCCGTTGCTGAGAATGGTGGTGCCCTCACAGACAAGACCTTCGTCACAGGGACAGTAGTCATTGAATATCCCGTTAAATTGCTGTAGGAACACGTGACAAGTGAGTCCTTGGTACCTCTTTGGACGACACACCCCGGACGTATGTTGGAATATAAAACGTTTGTGGTTGGCGGTCCGTTTGTCCGCGTCGGCTACACAACATTCCCATTCTCCACAGTCTGACTGATCATGACAAACCTGTTCTGTCTGACCGTCCACTAACTGAAGCATAAACACAATTTCCGAACAAAAGTAAACATCGTACCTTTATTTTAGACTTATCACAGAATGACCTTGTGATTAATTATCGCTCGTTACATGCTGTTCGTTACTGATATAAATTCACGTGCAATAACACCTAGCGGAGTTATGATTTGTTGAAAGGTGCCATTGTTTTTACTACTACGTCATCGGTGATAAGATGTCACAAACGATACAGAGTGAAAATATTGCAAATTTATTTCTGATTTCAATATCCTTACATCCTATTTTGACAAATGGTTTGTTTGGTAATGTATGTATTTCAATAATGCGGCATACAGAATATAACATCCGTCTAAACCTTGAAGATTGAAGCTCGGACAAATGCAAAATTTTTTATACTTGTTTCATCAATTTCATGTGATGAGAAAACACGTGTAAAAATATCTGTTTCTTGCACATTATAAGTAAAGTAATTGTTATACTGCAGAGTGTTTGGTTGAGGATGTGGATCTTTTTCTGGACAGTGCCTTAACTATGGTTGAATTTCTAGGACTATAACCTACGTCACAAAGTATCGATAGTATAAGTCGATACATCAAATCCTTAAAATCGTATCAATTCCCTAAATTAAACATTTAAAACAACATTGCGGTTCTCACACGAAATCCTATAAGAAACGTCAACGTGACTTGGAATGACTCAGGGGCAATAATGATGTGGACTCGAACATATAAATCCAATGTTTTGTGTACTGAAATCAAACATTTGATTCACAAACAGGGTCAACTTACCAGAATAGCAACTAGGAGAGGGAATAAAGCCAGAACCTTCATGGCTGTGATTGTTGTGGAATTCTAGCTCTGTGTTTCACTTGTTTGTGACTCGCAGTCTGGGAATGCGGACACCTGTTCCCTCAGAGTGACCACGCCACTATCGTTAGTGCAAATCAGTAACGAATGAGTTCAGTTTGTATGACGGAATGAAACTTGGACATGTACAACAGTACTGACGGATAGGACTCTCTGACACCGGATATTTACAACAGTGCTGACCTACTGACACCGGATATTTACAACAGTATTGACGGATAGGACTGACTGACACCGGATATTTACAACAGTACTGACGGATAGGACAGACTGACACAGGATATTTACAACCGTACTGACGGATAGGACTGACTGACACCGGATATTCACAACAGTACTGACGGATAGGACGGACTGACACCAGGTAGTTACAACAGTACTGACGGACAGGACATACTGACACCGGATATTTACAACAGTACTGACGGATAGGACAGACTGACACCGGATATTTACAACAGTACTGTTAGGTAGGACTGACTGACACCGGGTATTTACAACGGTACTGTTAGGTAGGACTGGTTGACACCGGGTATTTACAACAGTACTGTTAGGTAGGACTGACTGACACCGGGTATTTACAACAGTACTGACGGATAGGACATACTGACACCGGATATTTACAACAGTACTGTTAGGTAGGACTGATTGACACCGGGTATTTACAACAGTACTGTTAGGTAGGACTGATTGACACCGGGTATTTACAACAGTACTGTTAGGTAGGACTGACTGACACCGGGTATTTTACAACAGTACTGACGGATAGGACATACTGACACCGGATATTTACAACAATACTGTTAGGTAGGACTGATTGACACCGTTTATTTACAACAGTACTGTTAGGTAGGACTGATTGACACCGTTTATTTACAACAGTACTGTTAGGTAGGACTGACTGACATCGGATATTTACAACAGTACTGGCTGACAGGACATTTGCAACAATACTGGCTGACAGGACTGACTGACACCGGATATTTACAACAGTACTGACGGACAGGACATACTGACACCGGATATTTACAACAGTACTGACGGATAAGACAGACTGACACCGGATATTTACAACAGTACTGTTAGGTAGGACTGACTGACACCGGGTATTTACAACAGTACTGTTAGGTAGGACTGGTTGACACCGGGTATTTACAACCGTACTGTTAGGTAGGACTGACTGACACCGGGTATTTACAACAGTACTGACGGATAGGACATACTGACACCGGAAATTAACAACAGTACTGTTAGGTAGGACTGATTGACACCGGGTATTTACAACAGTACTGTTAGGTAGGACTGATTGACACCGGGTATTTACAACAGTACTGTTAGGTAGGACTGACTGACATCGGATATTTACAACAGTACTGGCTGACAGGACTGACTGACACCGGATATTTACAACAGTACTGACGGATAGGACTGACTGACATCGGATATTTACAGCAGTACTGTTAGGTAGGACTGATTGACACCGGATATTTACAACAGTACTGACGGACAGGACATACTGACACCGGATATTTACAACAGTATTGACGGATAGGACGGACTGACACCGGATATTTACAACAGTACTGACGGACAGGACATACTGACACCGGATATTTACAACAGTACTGACGGATAGGACGGACTGACACCGGATATTTACAACAGTACTGTTAGGTAGGACTGACTGACACCGGGTATTTTACAACAGTACTGACGGATAGGACATACTGACACCGGATATTTACAACAATACTGTTAGGTAGGACTGATTGACACCGTTTATTTACAACAGTACTGTTAGGTAGGACTGATTGACACCGTTTATTTACAACAGTACTGTTAGGTAGAACTGACTGACATCGGATATTTACAACAGTACTGGCTGACAGGACTGACTGACATCGGATATTTGCAGCAATACTGGCTGACAGGACTGACTGACGCCGGATATTTACAACAGTACTGACGGATAGAACGGACTGACACCGGACATTTACATTAGTACTGCTAGGTAGGACTGACTGACACCGGATATTTACAACATTAATGACGGACAGGACGGACTGACACCGGATATTTACAACCATTCTGACGGATAGGACGGACTGATGGCTACGTGTAAATATGTACAACATGTATGGTTGTTTATATGCTTATACTGGAGATTAGAAATGGACATCACGGTAAAAAAAGATTACTTTCTTTACTGATTGTAAGTGTTTTTAAAACTTCAAGTTACGTTTCTGTGATATTCCGATATTCAGAGTCGATTTCTAAAATTCCCTTTTTCAGCAATAGATATTATCATGAGTGTTTTATTTGATTAATGAAAGTCAATTCAGAATTACGAATTAAGTAGCATTAATTGCCAACTTTGTCGCGACCAATTCAGACAAGAAGTCATTGTTCATAAGTTGATACACTTGATATGATATATATATGTATATGCAATGATAAAAATAAACCAGTAAAATTTCGTTTTATCGTTATGTCGCTTTAACACGAGACGAATACATTAAACCAGACAAATAATCGTCATTCTAAAATAATTCGAGTCCAAAAGTGTTATTTCCATCGCAATACCAACGACAAAAAACAAAAACTAAGGACTTCACAGTTTTGTTCGTAACGGTGTACCTGACATGTTCTCAGCCAATCAAAACACTCCGCTTTCAACCGTTGATGGTATATCACTAGAAGCTCCACCCACACTACATGTCGGTGTCCTAGGCTCGGTTATAACCGGAAAAGGACGTTAAGCTCCAAAAAAGAAAAGAAAAACACGACATGTCGACAGATTTGTGTCAGGGTGTAGGTCAAGGCATACGAAAAAGCTTATAATACTTCTTTGCGGGGATCGTCTTTCTAACTTTTTGTTTGTATCGAGTCATACTGTATATAATCAAACTCCTTATCTGTATCTCTGAATGGGAAATATAAAGGTTCATTGATAAAACAACGGACATCGTGGAGACAAGAGATAAATGACGGGAGACTCATCCGATGTTGCCAGTACGCTTCTTTCAAATGGGGATTGGGATATATGTATCATTCTGTATAGAATTATCAAGTAACAATAGGCCTAGGCAAGATCCAGCCAGTACAAGCAAGGTCCAGACTAGTGTTAAAGTAAGGGAAGAAGAGATGCAGTTTTAAGATTAAATTTTTAGGAACAAATCAAACTGTTCAAGTGTCATAGTTCATAGTTCATCTTTCCATCCATAAGGTGATGGTGTTTCGAAACGTTTTAGGTGATGTAACATTTAATGACATTTAATGACAAATTTATGGACGCATGCTTTAAGCCTTTATATCCATATCTGAAACACAGTGATAAATATACAAATTGTGTCAATGGCTTTTAAAAGTTAACGCATATCATAGTTATCAATAATCATAAATTCTATCTTGAAAGTGTTCATCCAAAATTTACTCAAAGTATCTAACTGAATTTGCATTAACAATATGAACGGGAAGATTATTCCGAGTGTCTACAACTCTAAAGGTAAAATGGTTGCTCCTAAGTTCCGTGTTACAACGACATTTAAAAATTTTGAAATTGTGCCCGCGAGTTCTCTCATTATTATCAAAAGTGAATAACTTTGAGGTGACTCTTCCATCAAATATATTGTGAGCTATTTGACGTAACGTGTAACACAAATTTATTGTACAATTAACTTATATGTCATATTGAATGTATGAAACATTTTACATTTGCTGTATGAGTGAGCAAAGCAGATGTATCGAATCATCTCCGTGGATGAAAGTCAGAGCCATTGTTAACCCGTTAGAAGATAACGACCGAATCTTTCACGAAACGATTGACTAACACTCACATAGTACAGAGTAAAGTCAGTAACAGCATCAAGGGCGTATATCATCTGCAAGCTATAACTATGCATGCATTTCAAAATAGTAGTGTTTCAGTTCATGGAAACAATCAGCAAAGTTAATAAAAAAACGTAAGCAATTATGTGTATTCGACATGATATTTGATTAGCACGAATATTCCTCTGTGCATCATAGTGACCCATTTTGTGGGGACAATCGATACCAGTAATTCCTTTTTTAAACGTAGTCATCAATTTTTAACGTTTACATCAAAATAACAAAGAAAAAATATAATAAAAACAAAAACATAATACAAAACCAAATAAAAACAACCCAAAATAGCAATAGTTTACAAATTAAACATTTATTTGACATAATCGTCATAAAAGTTAGCATTAACTAAACTAAGAGATGAACACACATTTACCTGTATTATAAATATTTATATATTGGTAAGGAAACAATTGTCACGTAGATATTTTGAACAATTACATAATCACAATAAAATAAATCTTAAATCTTGGGGGGGGGGGGGGGGGGGGGGGAGTTACAGTTAAGAAACATCATCCAAAGAATAAACTGAAAAATACGTACAATTCCATGGATGTCGCTGATGATCAAAATGTCTAAACAAAATTCAAACAATCATGTTACACATTACATAAAAAAAGTAATACACATCCTTCCTTCCAGAGTATTGATGATTGGCTAACAAAAACTGGAAATTAAAAAAAAAGAACAAAAAAAAAAACTCACATCAATTCCGGCGCTTAAGTGAGTACCTACTCCCTTCCACCTCATTTTCGATCTCCACCACTTCTACAATTAAAATATATATTTTTTTTCTTTAAATGGATAACAATTTATGAAACAGAATCAATTACCTATACACATCAGTTCTCAATTGCATTTTTTACAGGTGACCAATAGAAGAACACATCCGTACTCGAGAAAGAGCCCGGCAGAGCTGCTGCTCAGTACAATTACTCAGACGAGTTTGAGCAGTATTTATCTACCTTCTAATGAATAAGAGTTATCTCCCCATTCATGCAGTGATGTTCAATTTTAAATCATTTTACAAATGTAATTGACATCTAACTGTATATTACTAAGACGCTTACAACAGAATTGAC